GAATGTCTTGAACTGTGATTTATCTAAAATTTTACACAATTTGTGACACAATTTGTGATAAATAAAATTGAAACTCAGACGTGTTTATAGCTTCATTAAAGTTAAAATTTTAAAGTTAAAATTATATTAATAATGTTGCAGAAATAATGTGTCAAACTAAAATGCCAACAATTCAAAGTGTCCACAATCCTGTAAAGAGTGGACTCATATGAGCTAAAATTCTTATAGAGATCTGAAATCTTAAACGACTCACAGTGTATGTGATTTATAGGGAATAAAAGCTCTAGGCCTTCTGCACAAGCTGAACTGCAACAGAACGATGACAATCAGCTTGATGCCAGATGCGCATGCGACGCACGCTGCGCACGAGGGCACTATAAAGTCGGGCGCATCGGCATCGGAGCCCGCTCCGTGCGCTCCACGCGTCATGTCTCTAGACGCGTCCGCAGCTCTGAACGCAGAAGACCAGCGGTTTCTTTTTGTGAACGTGACCCTGGAGTCCATCGCGACGCAAAACGGGTACAACATCTGGCTCCCGGGTATCGGCATCGCGGCCGTGTACGGGCTCATTATAACTGTGGGTCTGGTTGGAAACGTAACTTTGATGAAAACATGTCTGATGGTGAAGTCCATGCGCACGGTGCCAAACCTGTTCTTGTCCAGTCTCGCGCTGGGGGACCTGCTGCTCCTGGTCACATGTGCCCCAGTAGACGCCAGTCGGTACCTTGTGGATGAATGGATGTTCGGGCGTGGGGTGTAAACTCATCCCATTTATCCAGCTCACCTCAGTGGGGGTTTCTGTGTTCACCCTCACCGCGCTCTCAGCAGATCGGTAAGAAGCAACTCAAGAAACTTCGCGAGAACAATGTGGACTAATAATGTTTTATTTAATTGCTTGAATTTTAAAAAATAGCCTGTATTCAAGTATGTGCAAGTTGGCTCCTCGATATCTAAGATGAAAGAGCACATAGCACACAGGCCTATATTATGCATTTCATGCATTTCTGACTTGAATGAATAAGCTATTAATTGTCGTATGTGGGTGGCTCTTAGTCTGTGCAATTTGTTTAATCAGCTGTTATGAAATATTAAAATGAGTATTTAAATAGAAACCAAGTTCAAAATGAAATTCTTTGGAAAGCGATCAAGATCCAGATGTGCCCAAACAACTGAGACGAGGCACAGCCAAAAGCAAATCTACTAAATATTTACCAGTGCGATGAGAGCAGAACCTTCATTTTGTTCAGGAGGTATAATATGGATGTGAATGAGTGATGGGGGATATGTACTGTTGGAAATGCTGTTTAAAAATGAATGCAATCTTGTATTGTGCATTATTCATTAAGTGAAAAGAGCCCACACTTGTCACACTTTTAGATAGAAATTGTGCTTTAACTGTTTCAAAAAGCCTCTCTTACTATTCTGCCAAAAGATTTCTTTTGGGAAACCAATCTAAATATGCACGATCTTAAAGGGCCCATGGATTTACAAAGTGTTTTGATTCATTCAACTGTGTTTGAAATGCTTTGGATTAAAGGTTTCATTATATTTAATATAATTAACTTGATGGGAACAAAGCTGCCAATATCACATAATATTTGCATATTTATGTCTGTACTAAAGCACTCAAGTAATTGTGAGTGACTGAATGACGGATGTCAAAGGTCTAACTGACAATACGTAATTCACCAATTGTTGCATCTTTGCTCTGGCTGTAATAGATTTTAAGATTTTATTGTTTGTTTTTAAAGGACCTCATTCAAATGTACAATCTCTTGCTACAATGAGACTTAAAACTGGGGGGCTTACAGCCTGGAACGCTCAGCGAGAAAAGTTAAGCAATGCATCTTCAAGTCTCATCTTAAGAGCCACTTTTATCCTGTGGCTTTTAACACTGCATACACTGTGTGGTCCTGTGTCTTTTATAATTGTATGTATTCATATTATTACTTTTTAAATGGTTTTATGTATTGTTCTTAGCATCTATTTAATGCTTATGGTTTTATTATTTGTATGAGCACCGGTAAAGCATTTATTTATTTGTTTATTTTAAATGCCTTTTCTATGCAGCACTTGTGCTATATGTGCTATGTAAATAAAGTGAATTGAATTGCATTATCATTCAAAACATCATCCTCCACCTCATGTTTGTGTCTTTTCAGGTACAAAGCCATAGTGAAACCCTTGGACCTCCAGACCTCCACTGTCAGCATCTATGTGAAAGCTGCTGCCATCTGGCTCCTGTCTGCAAGCCTGGCCGTCCCAGAGGCAGTGTTCTCTGACCTGCACACGTACACCACCAGTCACACCAATGAGACCTTTGTGACGTGTGGACCATACCCTCAGGCTGGAGACTTGCACCCGAAAATCCACTCCACAGCCTCATTCATAATCTTCTATGTGGGGCCGCTGCTCATCATATCAGTGTATTATGTCTTCATCGCACGCAGTCTAATCAGGAGCTCAAAGGACCTGCCAGAAGGAGGACACCAGCATCTCAAGAAACAGGTTTTAGCCTCACAACAAAAACCAAATAGACAGTTCTAACTGATAACGTTTAATATGGAAACCTCAAATGGTGACTCCAGTTTTTCCCATGGCATGTGTCTGTTAATTGACATGACCAGTAAAAATCTGTAAATCTAGTAAAACTATTATAATATTCAAATAACCTAGCAATTGGATCTGATGTTTGTGGCTGAAATTTTGTGAAAGAAATGTGATCTTCAAAATCACCTGGTCACATAGTGGACACAGTTACACAGTTTGTTACATGTTTATTTAAGCACTAAATGGAGAAGAAAAATTGCACTGCCACAAGAGCTGTGGTTTCTATTTTTTTCTAATATCATGCAATTTGAAGCCTAAATTGTGTGATACAACAAATACAAGGTTTTACTTTGAATTTAGAAAAAAGTAACTGTATTCTGAATACCACCTGTCAAGGTAGTGTGAAGATTGGCTCCAAAAGACCCAGAGTCAACGCAGTATTAAACGGGTTTTTAATAAATCCAAAAGGCTTGCAAAAAAACACAGAAACATCCATAGAACAGAAAGACAATCTGACAAATGGGGGAAGACAAGACACAGACTAAAAAGGGGAGCTAATGGGACACAGGTGCAGCACATTAGGGCGGGGCAGTAATCAAAGGCGGGAACACAAGAGGGAGGAAGTAAATCTGCAACAGAAAACAGGATAAGTAATAACAAAATAAAAGGGAACAAACAGGACATGACAACCACCAAATGAAAAAGTACCGGAATACAGTTACTCAAAATTTGTTTCTCAATAAGTATTCTAGGTGCTTGTATTCAGTTATTTCCCAACACTAGCGGTGGCAAAGATGGTGGTCCAGATCTCACCTGCTCTAGCATATTCAACCATGACTGTTTTCTTGTGACCCTGTCTTTACTCTGTCTGTTCCCAGATGAAGTCGAGGAAGCGCTTGGCCAAGACGGTGCTGGTGTTCGTGGGCCTGTTTGCTGTGTGCTGGCTGCCTAGTCATGTGATCTACCTGTACCGCTCCTACCACTACAGCCAGGTGGACACGTCACTGGGCCATTTCATCGGCAGTGTCTCTGCTCGGATCTTGGCCTTCACCAACTCCTGTGTGAACCCGTTTGCCTTGTACCTGATGAGCAAGAGCTTCAGCAAACACTTCAACAGGCAGCTCCTGTGCTGTCGCCCTGAGCAGCATTTGCGCAGCCAGGGCAGCAGGAGCACAAACGTCACTTCTGTCTGACTCTAATGAGAAATATTTAAGATCAAACAGATAAATAAGCTTTGTCTTAAAAATGTCTAAGGATCAACTTTTTTACCTCAAGGATATCCTGATAATTCAAATAAACATGAACAACAGCATTATGTAATCCTAAATGAAGGGTCAATCATAGAGTGTATGAAGAACTGGACCAAGGAAAAGTGAAGTCACCCATAGAGTTCGACTCCAGTCAAATGAAGCAAATAGGAGCAAATTTGGAGCTGAGTTCCATTTTCCGTATTGAAATTTATTAACGGATAAAATAGTGAAATAAAAACACCAGGCTTATGTAGAGCGGTTTTCTATGAACATTTTAAAATGACGAAAATAATATAATAGTTACAGAGAGAGGGCTGACGATTTTTCAGTGTAATGTGAAATGGAGCCAGAGTCGATGGAGCCGGAAGTGCCCCATGCTCATTTCCTATTTGTAACGTGGCAGCTGTAGTGGATTAGCTATGTTCATTTATATATACAGTCTATGGTAAAAATCCCATTATCTTATAAAGTTCTTGTATATTAGTGTGTTTGCCAGTTTGTTGCTTTTCTCCACTTGTTGAATAGCATAAACTTTAAGCTTAATAATGTGTATCAGTCAGATTTCAGATTGTGTAAGCCATCTTGATGTAAAATGCTTAATGTAAAATTGTTCTTTAGTTATCTTGTTCTAGTGAGTGGTTTGTGCAAAATGTTCTTAAATTAATATTTTTTCAAATGGAGATAAACATTCAAATACTTTTTTGACCTTTTCCCATTCAACACAGCTGACTAACTCTCAAAGCTGCATACAAGTCTATGAAGCTACAGTCACCTTTACACATAGAGGTGAAGGAGACATTTATGGCACATTTCACCATTTTACTCTGAGTGTCTTTCACATTGTTTAGCAGCTTAAACTTGTATTAGTGCGTTTATAACATGACTACAGCTTGAGGTAAGAATAGATCAAGTTAGATTTGTTTAAATGTCGATCTAACTCTCTCCCCCGGTGACCTTTCATGCTGCCATTTAAATAAATATCCCTCGAGTAAAGAAACAGATAAAGAGCTACGCATCAATTCATTTCATTTTTCTATTAAACTTGTTAAGCCATGCAAAGTTCACCCATCCATCTGTATTCACTACAAAATAAAACACAACTCAGTGTATTGATCCAGACTAATTTACTGTTAAATCACGTTAAAAACCTGTTCATGTTCCGATGCGGCTGATAAGGGCCCTTGTATTTTTTCTCAATGAATTAATTTCTGTCACTAAAAGTAATTTGAGTTTAGTGAGATCTGCTTCAGCAGTCCATCCCTAGGGACACCTGCTGTAACTATTCTTATATCTATCCCCAAAAAATGTAGACAGAATTTGAAATCTGACATTCCTTTGTGCAGAGCTTCTTTCTACTTAAAGTTAGAGTACAGAGTACAGTTAAAGACAGCAGAGACCAAAACTCTTGAGTTGGACAAAGGGTTCAGAAATAGATTCAATTTGAATTGAAAGTCTTCTTAGTCAGGCATTTTAGGAAAAATAGACCAAAACATTAAAGGTTTTAAAAGATAATTTTGTCTCTTTTTGGTATCAGATAACATAGATATACAAACAAGAGATTCAACTAAATAATAATAACAACTACAACAGCACAAAATATCAAATATAGAACAAGAAAACACCAGAACTGTATACAAATGTATTTGTTCAGAGCTGCTTTGGCTTAGCCTTGAGCTCCCACCTCGGTTTATGCAACCACTGTTTTGTTGTACTGGCTAATGTAGCTGGTTGTAGATGAATAAAGTGAAGAAAGAATGTCTTTGGTGGATATTTGTTATGGAAAATAAAAGCTTACCAAGGTCTAGAATAATACATTTATTCAGAGGTGTCAGTGATAAAGCAGGAAAGCCTTGACACTGTGAGGGAGAAACAGGCTGGACGCCGCGTGTAGTCGACTTCTCCCCAGACTGCGGCGCACTGATAAACGGCAGAACTGAGACAGGGAGCAGGGACCTACACCGCAAACAACAAACAGATATAACCTTTGCCTTTCACACAAGAGGGAAAAATGTGAGCTTTAATGCTTTATCAATACCTTTTGTGAGCAGTTTACTTCTCACTGAACTGTTAGGCTTTGCAATGTCAAGAGGAGTCTTTCCCTCTGTATTCCTCCAGCTCCCATCAGCCCCATAGTCCAGAAGCAGGTCAACTATGTCCACCTCTCCTCCTCGCACTGCAGCGTGTAAAGGACTATCCTGCCCACAGCCGAGTCGCACATCAGCCCCTAAACAAAGGCAAATGAACTATCAGCTGTAACCTTGATGCAGTGAGATAAATAAAAGCACCAATAGATTTGTTTTAGGAAAGGATTTAGAACATTTTAGTTTAGGCCAAAGATTATAAACTCTGCTACAAGGAGTCCGGAAAAGAAAAAAGAATCACTAATGTTGGCAAACTGACAGGAATATTTTTAGTAATGATTACAGTATTACAGAGAACCTATATTGTAACAAAGAACCAATCAAACATTTAAGGACATGGAGGATTTTTGTAATATAAAGAGCAATTACTAAAAGATTCATTTGGTCTAACCAAACTGTCATTAGTCTGCTTATTGGCTTGTCACAGAGTTTTGTAATCCCTGTAAAACTCACCTAAGACCAGCAGAGTCCTGACACACGCTGTGGCGCGGGTCAGACAGGCAGAATACAGAGGAGTCCCCAACACTGGCAGCTCCAAGTCAATATGAGCACCGTAAGAAAGCAGCAGCTCCAGACACTCCTTATGACCTGAGATAAAAACAAAGTGAAACAAAACAACTACTATTGTTTACATTACACAAAAGACCTCAAGAACAAATGCAATCTACCATGTGATTAACTGAAAAATATAAGCAGTTCTAACCTTGCTTAGCAGCTTCATGTAAAGGTGATGCCAGCTGATATGGGTGAATGGAGGCTGTAGACTTTAGGATTAATCTGGCACACGCTGCATTACCGCTGCTGCAGGCGTTGAAGAGAGGTGTGACACCATCTGTTGAAATAACATTTGCCTGGGAATCAAAAATGTATGTTTAAATACTATTTAAATACATTTATCTTGTTTTTATTTATGAAAAACTTGATTTTATACATTTGCTCCTTTGTCCAGTAGAAACTTGGCACAAGCATAATGCCCACCCAGGCATGCCTCATGAAGAGGAGAGACTCTGTCCATTGTGAGAGTATCTACATGGAAACCCTGCAGAGAGTGACAATGAGAACAATGGTGCTAAAGCCCTGTCTTGTCTCTCAATGATTTAAATATTCATTCATATGAAAGAAACAAAACATTGACTTAACCTGAGCAATGAGGTCCCTTAGCTGAAGCAGTCTGCCCTGACATGCAGCCTCATGCAAGGGAGTTCTGTCTGCCCATGAGTCTGCAGAGTAGGGAAAACTTATTATTTTATTTTTTGAATCGCCATTAGCAACAGCAAAACTGTTCCTGTCCTTCCTGGGGTCCACAAGTGTTATTAACATTTAATAAAAAAATATTAGAAAATGATAAATACTCTTTAATGAATATTGTGCTAACCAACAAAAGCAGTTATTTACACTGAACTCCAAAGAAAACACTGAAGGCAACAATGGACTAGCCAGCTGTATACAGAGAAAACTATTCCTTTGCAGCATTTGTTCATATTGCAAAGTCACCATACATCTTTTAAACAAACCAACAACATAAAAAACATACCAGCCATCAGTGCATTACATGTCATCCCTCTGTAGATGTGCGGAGGCCAGGGCAGGGAGAACAAGGACTTCTCTGTCTGAATGGCCATGATGAAGATACTGCAAACTCCTCCACAACTCTGCTGGACTTTAGGAGGGAACTCAGAGCCACAGTAGGTTTCCTCTTGGTTTTATCTGACTACCACCTCCCCCACACAGACACCACCCGCCTACTCAGCCAAGAAAATGAATGTAGATAATGTGCATAACAATAGTGTCAAAGATTAATTTACAGCACTTCACATTTGGATGAAAGCAAGTGAATAAAATTCCTATGTTGTTTAACTTTCTCAGATAGTTAGAATTACTCTTTTTCAAATAGTTTGTCTACTGATAATATTCAGATATCTCAAGAGAATGTGAAACAAACAAGTATTTGTTTATTATTATTTATTCTAGGAACAACTGTTGAATTCAAATGGTTAGACCTTGAGAATTCAAACAGAAAATCCCTGCCTGTTTTACAACCACTACCTGTTTTGACTGTCATCTGCATTCCTGAGAGCCGCCCCAACCAGTCCCACTGTTTTTACTCAGCAGGAAATACTTTTAGGCCAAACCAACAAGTTCAGGTGTATCATTAAAATATGGCTGATAATAAAAAGTATTTATTTACCACAATGTAGTAAAAGCAACCACAGAGACATGTTGAATAAATGAGGAAGAACAGTTACATAAAATTGTTTTTAGCTCAAAAATAAATAATCTTGTGTTAATTCCAGTACAGTGCAACAAACTGTGCTTTATTACCCAGTGACCAACAAAAACAATCAGTAGTTTGCATTAAAATAAGCCTAAAACTTGTCAAATGTAATAAAAAAATGGCACCAACGCCTGAACAGGATGTTTAAGACAAAGCAAACTGGTATAAGGTTAATAAAACTTATCTTGTCCTTAAGCAATGTCATGGGAGTATGTATAAAAAGTGCTATTTAATATAGGCCTATTCACAAGAGTACCACAATTTCCCTGAGCATCTCATACACTTGTACAGTAGTAGCTCTTAGCCCTGGTTTGATCATCAGTAATATAAACAATATTATGTATTTAAAGACTCACCATGCACTCTGCTACAAATTGTGCTCTCTACTTAATTCCCGTTTACTATCCATCTCATCTTTTTGTTCCCCTTTCCATAACCCATGAGGACCAGTGGCATCTACGGCAACATCCATAACTTGATCTGGCACCAGCCACTGAAGGAGGAGCAGAAACAGAAAGTCTAATACAGCAACAAATGCAAAGATGGTCCCTGCCACAGGGCCACAGTGAGTCCTCAGCCGGTGTATCCGTCTGTCCAGGGGCAGGACCTCCTCTTCTGCAACTCTGTCATAAACCTGAAAAAAAAATATTTTTTTTTTCTTCATTAAGTAATACAAGGGACAGATAGTTTAGTTTACCCACCACAGACTACATCCCACTTCAGCAAATGCATACATAAAGGATATATTTTGTTATTTCCTTGTCACTGTATGGTCATGTTGTAATTAAAGGGTCAGTTCATTAGATACAGTATTTACTAATAAATCCCACCTTTTCAGTCCTCTCTGCAACATTCCTCCATGTGTACAGGTTACGGACCCGTGCATGAATAGAAGCAGGTGAAGGCACAGCTCCAGCGCGATGTTGTGCAATGACTGACTCCAGACCAGCACATAGTGACCGCACAGTGGGCTCACACAAAGTAATAAGGTCCTCAGGCAACACCTCAGGAATACCTCCAACACGAGTGCTCACGACCTTGGAATATATGTAAAAAGTACATGATAAAAGTGTCACAATGAGTGTAGTACAACATGCAAAGACCGTATCTTTAAGTAACAAGTGACAAATCAAACAAGATTTGAAACAAAATAAACTATATTTCATTATTTGAATATTATCTCTTTTAAAATTACATTGGCTACTGTTACTATGTGTTTAGGAATTTTCAATTTAATATAAAAGAGTTCAGACCATATACAGTTGAAGTGACCTGGGGCTGCATGTGACTACTACTTATTGTCTTAATTAGTTTTATCTGTGTACATGACCAATAAGCCACCTGCAGTCCACAGCTGGCTCCTTCCACAATGGCCATACAGAAAGCTTCAGTTAGAGATGTGTTCAGGAAGATATGACCTTGCACCAGAACCCCCCGCACATCCTTATGCTCAAGAGCTCCCAGCAGACGCACTCTGCAGATCACAGTAAAGTTAAACACAGTTAAACACCCAATGTAATGATACCTTTGAATATTATTATGTGTATAATTGCACAATGCACCTGTCATGTAGTTGGTATTTCTCTCTTACTTCTTCTAAAACAATCCGTTTTGGTCCTTCGCCTCCAATTAAGAAGTGTAAATCTGGATATTTAAGGCAAAGCTCTGGGATTATTCCACCAAGAAGATCAATACCTATGAGGATATTAAAAAATAAATTAAGTCAAAACTGAATATTTAAAGGTGCCTTATTTTTGGCAGTTACTGTAATTTCTCACCTTTGCGATAAACAAGCCGACTTATTACAACAATTGTAATCTTATCATGTTGGCGCTGTGAAGGGTCAGGGGTAAAGTCTGTAGGATCCACAGCATTAGGAATGACAGAGACTATTTCTGGGTTGAGAGCCGCTCGCAAGACTGTGTTCTCTTTACTGGTATATGAGACACACACTATATGGTTGGTATCACAGAGTGAAATAGTCAGAAGTTTGTTGGTCAGCACAGAACTGACATCGGCAAAACCAAAGAGTGAGTGGTCAGTGAACACCTGTAATTACACTGGAATTAGTTATGGAGCACAACTACAAATATTATATTGACGGTATACATACAGTATTGAGACCCAGGGTTTTGGCATGGAAAAGTGCATCGTGAGCCATAGCAGAGAAGGAACTGTGTGAGTGTACGATGGTGATCCGCTCCCTAACAAACACACAGCGTAGCAGGGGCAGGCTGTGAAAGCACGTGGTTGCTGTGGACTGGTTGTACATGACCTGTAATGGGAGGTAGTACACCTTCAGACCATTTGTCAGGTGCCTGATGCCTTTCCTCCTGCCATAGGCATGGGTGGCAATTACCACCTTGTGTCCCATTGCAATTAGACACTGGGACAGCTGGTAAATGTGACTTTCCACTCCTCCCATATTTGGATAGAAAAAGTCTGACACCATACAGATATTGTGCTTCTTTCTGAAGACCTCTGCATTGGGGCCGCCGGACCTCTGAGAGGACAGGACTTTTGAACCTGCCCCTCTCCTGCGCGGGCCCATGTTGTCCTCTGCCTATGACTATACTCTAGAGCAGCTGGCCGAAGAGGGGTCAGAAAGAGAAGAAGAATACTTATTATTAGGCATTTATTATACGTTCATAATTATTGCCATTTAATGATCAATTAATAACCTGATTTGGTTTCCAGACAGAGATAGATTATATATCGCCACCAAAAATAACAAATAGGCTTTTGTTAGTGAGAATACTTACCACGAACATAGTCAAAAGGTCTTTAAAATGTGCTCTTTTAATCTGAGCTCTATTCCGGCGCATAATGAAAGAAAAATGATCAGCTGTTCAACACTTCCTGGTATTTTTCTTCTTTGTGATACTTCCCTATGAATGGAGTTGGCAATGACGCCACCTATAGGAATGAACAGTGAACGGCAACTTTGAATGCGTTTTAATTGTACATTAAGCTATCTCTTGGCTGCTATAATATTTTTTTTATAATACAATAAATTTTCTATGAAAATTAAATAACTATATACAAAAAAAAATAATATTTTAAACAAAAGAATTTTAAATAGCTGACATAACCTGTTACTAACTTTTACCAAATAATTCTAATCTGTCGTTTCACTCAGTGATCTGTAGTTGTGGCTTCAATAGGCAATACAATGAACTTTTGTGACCATTTTAAGATGCACCCATATATGGTATATAATACTGAAGAACAAGAATGTAAGTACAGCACACCCTGGGCTATGCCGAACGACTGTAGAACAGAGTCTAACCCATAGACTGTGGTCTAACCACAGTCATAATCCACATAGGCCAAATTATATGTCATATGAGCAGTGCATCTGTTTTGGAGGAGGCCATTTCTTTGGGAGCTGGAAGCCACACTGTTTTGTGGAGCTGCTCCCAGAGAGCGATCTAGACTATTTATATTTAAAACCTTTCTCCTGAATGTGACTGCTCATGATGTGTAAGCTCTCCTGAGAAGGATAGCATAGAAACTGCCTATTGTTCTTATTAATTCACACATGCTGTAAGGTGACATTTGGGCTTTCACTAACTATGGGACCTCTATTATGTGTTACTTAACATGTGTAAATGTGCTTAGTTGGTGCATCTTCTGAATGTTCTATGCATCCGAGCAGGACTTCATTCCTTCTGTCTACATCTTGGAATAGACTATATCTGTACATTTTTATCTGTAGGTCTACATGAATCAGATGTGAAATCTGGCAAAAACATGTCCCTCACCATTTGCAGGTGGTCAGGTTTCTTTCATTCTTGGCATCTACATTCATTAAGGAAGGCCAATTTATTTAATGTGACCCTAGGTGCAGAGGTGCTAGCTATGCAAATAGCCTATAAAGCTCACATCACAATAACATATTTATTTCAATAGCCCAAACCCTCAGAAAAGTGAGGCTGCAAATGCCATACAAAAATGTCTCCCAGATAGCAGACTCTCTGCACTCTCCGCCCCCTTTCGATCCAACTCATCCTCAGCCTCACTCCGTCATCATCAGTCAGGAGCTAACGGGGAGGGATCAGTGAGGACCGAGAGGAGGATTTCTCCCAGTGTCGACACTTTACCTTTGTAATTAGCATTTTTATTATAGCACACACATATAAACATATTGAGAAGATAGTTGTGGATACCGGGAGAGCGGAATGGAGGAGTACACGGCGTTCCTGGTGTTACTGCTGGCGACCTTGACGCTTTCAACTGAGGTGAGCCCAACAGAGAAATCTCAGCCGAAAAAAAAAATATTCCAAGCCTCGTTTTGTCTTGTGTGTGTTGATTTGATGACAGACATTGATTAGAGACATTCACTACACCAAATTATCTACCAGATAAAGTAATGTTAGCTAGATAAAAACATATTGCTAGCTACTGTTAGTTATAACAAATCTGCTATTACAAACACCATATTTTGAGGAGGCGAGGCATTTGTATTATACTGTAACAGTATATGTCGCTGCCTCATTTTTAATAGTACGTCTGTTCTACAAATATAACAGTAGGATACATTTTGGGCCATCACTTTTTATTTGCAGAATATGGGCATTATTAAAACCGTGGCGTCAGCAAAGCTCCCCGGGCCTACCGTTAGATGTCAGCGATTGACACTTTACCATTTCACACTTGTTTTTTTTTCTAATGTATATGGGCCTGTTTGGCGTACTTAGATTGTATATTATAAATACAGTGATGCGCTTTTCTCAGAATTAAATGTCGTGTTTTGTGTGCTACAGTGGCTAACACGATGATGGCTAAATCCTTAGCCATGTTAGCTCTGGACAGACATTGGCATGGCAACGGGTCAGCCCGCTGTGGGCGAGAACAGCGTCAAATTATGGCCCATTTTGACTCAACATATTGCCCTTAACCAGACAAATGCACGTTTATATGCATGAATCCGTAGAGGTGTTAAGCAGGTTTTATTACAATGTTTATCATGAGCTGCAGCCTCAGTGGGTCCAGTGCATTGACTGTAGTCCAGCGCAGCAGCTGTAGGGCGGTGATAGGAAAGCTGCTGAGGAGAATGGAAAACGGTGCAGACAAATCAGGCAAGATGGCGCTTGTGGTCTGTTGCAACGCAGGATTAAATTGAGTGAGAAAAAACAAAGCACAATCTGTTGAGTACTACAAAGGAAGACTAAAGTTATCTAAAATCTGCGCTTGTATGAGGGCAGTGTCAATCCCGCGGTCATCTCATCTCAGCGCACACACGGGTCAGCGACCACTAGTGTTTCCCGCGTTCAAGATTAAATCGACAATGCCCAAGTAAAGTCATGACAGAAGCAAAACGAATCTGTAGGATAGACTATGATCTGGGTCTGTCACACATTTCTAAATATGTCATAGAAATGTTAGAGAGAAAACAGGGCATCGCCACATGCCTTTATAACAAGAATACGCCTGTTTCTTGACATTAGTCTTTTTGAAACATGGTTACTGTGTCTCGTCCAGCTGAGTCCAGTGATATTACATGTGGTGGTTTCAGAAGGACACAAACATATAATAAAAAAATACATATGGAGACTGAATCAAAAACAGACTGTCACATCTAGTCTTAAAACGCTATCAGATGTTGACATAGTTATATATTGCTTTTAATTGGTCACTACTACTACAACTACTACACTACACTACGTGACTGTATTATGTTGAGTAAGGGTGCATATATTGATATATATTGTGATACAAAATTTAGAGGAAGAAAAAAAAAAGCAATACATTAGACATATTCACTGTTTTGATGATTAAAATGGTGTATTTCACTGTAATGAATTATATATTATGTCTTATGTATCGTGGTAGGCTATGTACTGCATCAGCAGCCTCTTGATGATACCCAGACCTCAATTATTATCATAGTATCCAAATGAATTAGTATTTAGATTATTGTACTGTATCCTAGCTCAGTGTTTCCCTACCAGAGGTACTGGGAACCCTGGGGTTACACGAGCACTTGGCAGGGTTATTGGAAAGATTTCAGATTTTAAAAAACAGATGGAATTGAATAATATTTGAATCTAAATGTTCTTTCACAGTATAATTTATTTTACATGCTTAATAATGTTTCTGTATGATAATTTTGACATAAATATTATTACAACAACAACATACAATTATTTTTATTAGCTATAATAGAAGAATAGAATAAAAACAAAATATACAAGACTGTGAGACATCGCTTTGGGGGTATGCAAGACTAAAAAGATTGGGAACCGTTGTCTTAGCTCAAGGTTCTTGGCTTGAATTGATTTGACTGTGCTTCTCTTTGTTGCCGTGTGTCCAGGTCCCTGTTGATGACTCAGTGGGTTTGCTCACTGAGCCTCAGGTGGCCATGTTTTGTGGGAAACTCAACATGCACATCAACGTCCAGAGTGGCAAATGGGAGTCCGACCCCTCAGGCACTAAGAGCTGCATTGGTACAAAGGAGGGCATCCTGCAGTACTGCCAAGAGGTACCAAAAGTGATAGAGAAAAGTGTAGCAAAATGGACTTGGGAACTGAAAGGGAGGGTATCTAGAATTTGTGTATGTATTTATTTTCTCTGTGTCACCAGATACAGGATAAGCATGTTCATTATTTCTTATGCTTTTATTTGCTGGTTCAGTTCTCTAGCCTATTATGAGTATGAGCCTCATATGCAAGAGTGCAGGCCACATATCCTCCCTTTAACATATAGAAAAGATTTAAAGGAGACACATGAGCTTTAACCATGTTGTTGTGATTTCCCTAATCATCAATCAATTATTTAAAGCACTGTTTAACAAAGATTTTTTTTTCAGGTATACCCAGAGCTGCAAATCACAAATGTGGTGGAGGCCAACCAGCCTATCAGCATTCAGAACTGGTGCAAGAAAGGGCGCAAACAGTGCCGCAGCCACAGCCATATTGTGGTGCCATACCGCTGCCTGGGTAAGCTTTTTTAAATGGTTAGATTGACACGCAGTTTAAACTTGATGTAATGTGCTTTGAATGGCTTCTGAAGGGGGAAAAGTTAAAATAAATGTATTTAATTGTATATACCATTTATTGAAAGGCCTTCATGAAACGTATTTATGTTTCAGTTGGTGAGTTTGTGAGTGATGCCCTGCTTGTTCCTGACAAGTGCAAGTTCCTTCATCAGGAGCGTATGGATCAGTGTGAGAGCCACCTGCACTGGCACACTGTTGCCAAAGAGGTGAGGAAGGGGGCTCTGCATTTAAGTGACTGATGATTTGCTTCAGTTATTAATGAGTTTTTGTTCTAGCTCAGGACTATATTGCCTGGAACAATTTTTGGGGGCTGCATATGTGTACCTTTTTTGCATTATTTTTTTGTAGTCATACATTAACATTTGAGCTGTTGGGGGTCATAATAAAATCTTACAAATTATTAATATGTACGTCACACATTTACTGTACATTTGTTAAAGAGTCACTTTGATTTGTGCTAAGTAACACTGATGTATGTGTTTTGAATCTAGTCTTGTGGAGACCGTTCCATGTACCTCAATGACTTTGGGATGCTGTTGCCTTGTGGCATTGACCGTTTCCGTGGAGTGGAGTTTGTGTGTTGCCCGGCAGAGGCGGAGCCACAGACTGACAACACTGAAACTGAAGGGGAAGAGTCAGATGTGTGGTGGGGAGGACCTGAGACTGAGTACTCTGATAACGGGTAAGTGATGGTGCCATTGATTTGGGTGTATAACTTAAGGACACGCGATTCATGTGAAGTTTGTTTGCAGTGAGACTCGTCCTGCTGATGCTGAGCCTGCTGCAGCTGAGGATGATGAAGATGAGGATGAAGAGGCATATGACAGAGATGCTAATGGAGATATTATCGATGAAGAGGAAAACATGGAGGATGAGGAGGATGTCACTGACGATCGTTACAGCGATGGGCACAATATAAATATTGCCATGACAACCACAACCACCACCACCACTGAATCAGTCGAGGAAGTTGTTAGAGGTAAGACTGGAGACTCTTGCTAACTTCCTTTGCTTGTCTTTGTATCTTAGTAATCTAATGATGAATACAAGCAGACTTTTATTTATTTTAATGTTACACATGTTGCTGTGTGTGTGTGTACACATCACAGCTGTTTGTTGGGCACGAGCTGACTCAGGCCCGTGTGACGACATGCTGGACCGCTGGTACTTCGACCCTAAGAAGGGGCAGTGTGCTCCTTTCTTGTTTGGGGGCTGTGGGGGCAACAGGAATAACTTTGGCTCTGAGGAGTACTGCCTTGCTGTCTGCAGCAGTTCGTGTAAGTGGAGAACCTGGAGTCGTCATATCCAGTATCAATAACAGCATTATCCTCAGGCTGTCCAAACTATCCCACTTTCACTCTGCTGTCTCTGCTTCTAACTCCTAACCCTCAAAGAGTCTCTCTGGCAATGGTATATTATCCACAATTCTTTATTTAAGTAAAGTGGCCGTTTTGATTTTTAAACAGGCTTTTGATGGCCTTGTCATCTGTATTTTAAGTAAGTATAGAGCAGTGGGTGTATGCTGGTGGCAGTGAAAACAAGGATTGATCAACAATATGTCAGCTTGAAAATAAGTAATTAAAGATTGCTTAAACATGCACAAATCACTCAAAATACAACTTATAGGTCTGCTTTAAGGGCTCCTGTTAAAACCATTTTGATATTATTGTTCAAAATGCTAACCATTCATTACTTCACTGTCTCATTAAAGTCAGTAAAGGAAAAAGTCATCACAGACTCAACCGTATGTTTCTGCATGAATTACATTGTCTGCATGGCTTGTATATTGCAGCGCCTCTGATCTGTCAGCAACCTTGTCTCACCTGACCTAGAGCTCGTGTGTGCGTTTGTATAAAGATAGTATGGCCTTGTTAAAGGCCAGTAGCTTCATTTTGCTTGTGCTTGCACACAGTTGGGCCACACCTTCCTGGTGCTGCACCTGCCCAGATCTTGACTCTGCACATTTTATCTTATCTCCAGGCACCCACAATAAACAAAGATGGACATGTGGACATCTCTGGGAACTAATGACATCTTGTCTTTTTCTAGTGTTTTGTTACTAAATATTTGTTGTGTTTTATGTTTAAGAACTAAAATTGTTTATCTTTTTAACAGAACATGTTTTGTCTCTGTGTACTTTCTAAATGTTTCTTATTTCAGTCTTTTATTTTATCCTGTCATATGTTTATTTCAATTTCTAGTGCCAACGATGGCTCCTAGCCCCCCAGATGCCGTTGATCGGTATCTTGAAGCTCCCGGGGAGGACAATGAACATGCTGATTTCCAGAAGGCCAAGGAAAGTCTAGAAGCCAAACACCGGGACAAAATGTCCCAGGTATCTACATTGGTGCAAAGAATAAATTGAAATGATAGAATTACAGTAATCCTCTGTAATGGCGTTTTGAATACTCTTCTCTTGATCAGGTGATGAGGGAATGGGAAGAAGCTGAGAGACAGGCTAAGAACCTTCCTCGTGCTGACAAAAAGGCTGTCATACAGGTATTACACAAGTCTATCTTTATCACATCTTTATCTATCATTATTATATTATTATTATCACATACTCAACACTTTGTGTTTTTGCAGCACTTCCAGGAGAAAGTGGAGGCTCTGGAACAGGAGGCAGCTGGAGAGCGACAGCAGCTGGTGGAGACACACATGGCTCGAGTGGAGGCTCTGCTCAACAGCCGCCGACGTCTCGCTCTTGAAAATTACCTCAGCGCTCTGCAGGCCTCCCCTCCACGGGTACACACATACTTACATACATATTTATACATATACTAGTATTATACGTACATTTAAGGTATTGATAGTAAAGTCATATGACTTTGTTCCGCTGGACGGCACGGTTACCATGGTGACCCACATTGAGAAAATATAGCCACATATGCTTTTATATCAGGCATGTCCAGACTATGGCCTGGGGGCCAAATGTGGCCCTCAGACCAATTTTTCTTGGCTCTCAAACCAACTTCCAGTTAAATTGTCCCATATTACCTTAAGCAGCACAGTCTCAATCAACCTTGTTTGTAATATTGAGGATCTAAGCAAGAATAAAGGTCTGGTGGCTCAGTCTAACCTGCACATATTTGAATTATTCACTGTTATCACCGACAGATTATATCCTCCGATGGGCTCTCCATTTTGTCTTAAGGGAGCTTTGCCCTCTAAGGAATGTTGCATAATGCCCTCTAAAAAGTAAGATAGACAGTAAGACAAAGATAATGTTACAGTGTGACAATGCTCTCTCCCACAGCCACGGCAGGTGTTGAGTTTGTTAAAGAAGTACATCCGTGCTGAGCAGAAAGACAGGCAACACACGCTGAAACATTATGAACATGTCTGCACTGTTGATCCGAAAAAAGCTGCTCAGATTCGACCCCAGGTAAAAAAAATAAATAACCCAAATATAGCTCTAGAATAAAGGGTTTGTGAGTAACTTTATAATGTTGCTTTTATACCTCTTAGGTTCTCACCCACCTTCATGTGATTGACGAAAGAATGAATCAGTCTTTGGGCTTGCTCTACAAAGTACCTAATGTTGCAAATGAGATCCATAACCAAGTTTGTAAGTTTTATATATTTATTTTTTATATGATACAGTTATATTTAAAATGTTTGAAAGTAATAAAGTAACAACATGACGTGCATACATATATCTGCACACTCAAGACACCACACATACTGGTAACGTAAGGCAACTTTATTTGTATAACAAGTAATTCAAAGTCCTTTACAGACATTAAAATCACAATACAAACATATAATCATAAAATTAAACTTAAGCGAGACAAGTGAAGAATAAAAAACTTTCAGTCACATATTCCTTGCTTTTCAACCCTGATAACACTTTCTTCTCAACTTTGTTTGTTATTGTTAACACTTGTCACACTCTGTCCTACTCACTCCTGTTTGTCTTTTTCAGCTGTTTTAGTGCATCGAATTCAGGTGGAGCTTTCTCAGCAAGTCTCCTCCCTGCAAAGTGATGTGCGGGTGAGTCAGTCACACCCACTCACTGCATGCACACAGCCTGTCCTGTATTAACTGTAATCAACTCGTGTGTGGTCTCCGTATTTTTATGGTGTTGAGCCAGCCATAACAAGCATCATTTCAATTTTACAATCTTTAAATTATATTAAGTATGAAGATTTATAACATCCTTAAAGTCACTGTTGCACTTTGCATTGCATTATTCATTCACTACAAAATCAGTGATGGTAGACTACTTATGTAGCCACAGCTGCTCTGAAGGAAACACATAGATACTTACAATAAAAAATAAACATTATTTACCTTGATAATTGTATTTATAATGGACAGACACCAACTTATAACTAGCATATAAAAACATCTTTAAAACTGAAAGGTGAATGACCAGAGATAGACCCATGTAACTGTGAGACTCACCCACACTAACTTAGCTCTCAAATCCAAATTTAGACAAAAAAGCATAATATCGTTTTGGTTATTTGTTATTTTGCACGGCTTGTACCTCTCCCCATGCCCAGTTGGTGAAAAATGTATTGTTTTCCAGGTGGATGGCAGGATCAGTTATGGGAATGACGCTCTTATGCCAGATCAGGCTTACAGCTCTGCTCCTATGGATCCAGGCCTGGATGGACTCGGCTTTATTCATCCTGAAAGTTTCAATCAGCCCAACACAGAAAACCACGGTAACACCTTGTTTTTCTGATGTTGTTGGAAAAAATAAACAAAAACAAAATGTGAATTGGTGGTTTTCAGATTCTAGATGTGATGATGTCGTCCTCCCAGGTGGGGGGGCATGAGCCAGTTTTTCCTTTTAATTACATTGTAATTTGCTATGAAATATTGGAAAGGTACATTCCCAAATATGGAACCTGATCATTTCTATTATTGACCAGACCCAAGACCATGATATATTACAACAGAAATCTGCAGTTGAGCAATATTAATATTAGCTGTCCCCCATCTGCATTAAATAACATTGGCCTATAGAATGCTGTGCTGTCATCTGAAACCCGGTAATACACGTTGTGTTTTCTCTGTAGTGGAGCCCGTTGATGCCCGTCCTGTTCCAGACAGAGGGTTACCCACACGACCAGGTGAGCCTGTGCCAACATTTGTTATTATCTATCTTCCTTTGGTGAATTGTAGACCTTCTAAACATTAGCGTCTTCTTTTGGCTTTAGTATCTGCTCTGAAGCCAGAAGAAATGCCTGAAGTGCGACTTGACACTGAAGAAAGAAGTGCTGGTTACGAGGTTCATCAAAAACTGGTAAAATAATAATAATCCTTTATTGTTTTAATTGTAGGTAAGCTTTAACCATTATTTATTTTTAAACAGGTATTTTTTGCAGAGGATGTGGGATCCAACAAGGGAGCCATCATTGGTTTGATGGTTGGAGGAGTTGTTATAGCAACCATTATAGTTATCACTTTGGTGATGCTGCGAAAGAAACAATATACTTCTATCCACCACGGTGTAATTGAGGTAATGCATTTAGTCTCAACCATAGTATAGTTTACATGGAGCTAATGTTACCACAACATTTTTGCATATGCGACTTGTGTGCGCCTAATTCAGTGTGTGCGAATCAGGGAATCTCCCATGGAGTGGGAGTTTGTAGTCAAATTCTAGAACATGAACACAACTTGTATTTTTATTGTCTATGAATATTATGCAACTAAAAAAAAGGCAAAAAAGCAAACCACTAACTATCTCCAGCTACTATCAGTCGAATTATTATTACAGACAAATCAAATGACAGATGATAAAGAAATATTTTTGTAATAATAGTCCCGTAGATTAGATCTAAGCCATTTCAATAATTTTAGGTGTATTTTTTTTCAGGTGGATGCAGCAGTTACTCCAGAGGAACGTCACCTTGCCAAGATGCAACAAAATGGATATGAAAATCCCACCTACAAATTTTTTGAGCAAATGCACAGCTAAAAAAAACAGTTTATTTCATTACAAACTCGCCAAACTTAAGGGTCTGTTCCACTCTTTCCCTTACCCCAACAGATTCATTGGTTGCTTGGATAATGTTAAAAACTACATTGTAATGTATCTTCAGGTTGAACCTGTGTTTTGGGCTGTAGGAATCAGACATGGAACAAAGCCCTTTGATCCCTGAAGCTTGTAAATACAAATCAGCATGCATTACTGGATAGCAGTTAATGAGACTCATTTGACCTGCGCCCCTCAGCTAATCAAAATAGAAATTTCATATTGTACTGAAATAAAATACACAATACATATATTTAAATATACCATATTTAAATTATTTATTCATACTAAGCTCACTGCAGGGACCAAAATCATATATCTAGCCTTGCAGGTGAGTTTCGTGCTCCCTCCTTCTGACACCTGCTTATTGCTTGCTGAAAGCATTGCTGTTGGGTATTGGATGGAGGTGCTCTGCAAGCACCTTTTATGGGATTAATTCTTAAGAATTTTTATTTTTTTTTTCCAAAAACTAAAAACAAAACACAAAAATATATGTGAACAAAGTATGTAAAGGATTGAAATACTGTTTGTTTTTTAATGATCTTATTGTTAATATATTAAGACAGAGATTAGCTGTAAGTATATGTAATGCATGGAAAAATCAATGACAGATAAAGTATACTTTATGCCGTGGACCTCAGGAGTCCTTTTACTAGATACTATACTATAGCAGGATTGTACATTTTCTGTGTCTTCTTTGTGATATGTGATATGAAGAAGAAAAGAGTATTTAGAATCCGTTGTCACAGATTTGCTTTAAATGATTCTTGGCTCTATTTCCATACTTCACTATGTTTTAGCTGCATGGGCAGATGCTCTTTGTGTAATATATGACGTGTAATCGTAACCGATGAAAATGATTGTGTTACTCTTGCATTCTATGCACTCTGTTATTTTGGATTATTTATCGCCTTTGCGCTTTCCTTTATGCCATTTTCCTCAGATGTGATCAGTTGGGAGATGAGTAAAAAAGCTTTGTGAACATTATGAAGAATATATATCATTCCACTTTAGTTATTGTTATTAACTGATTGTAAATATTTGGATGAACTATTACATTACTGTTTTTGTCATTTTGTTCATGTATGCTTGTCATGCTGTCTTAAGCTGTCAGCAATATTGTACAGTACATCACTCTTAGTTTTATGCTGGTTTTCTTATCATACACATTTCTGTATTAATTGTAGACCATTTTTCTAAACATGAATGTTACATGCATATTGCATTGAAGAAATACAACACATATCACCTCTACACACCTTATCTACACGTGTAAAGGCACTAAAGTTTATTATGAATTGAATGTTGAGATTTGTACAAATGCTGTCATCTGTACCCTGAAAGCTTGTTCTCCAAACCATTTGCTCCATGTAATAAAAGACTTTCTACACTCAATACTCCATGAATATAATTTTGTAACATACATAAATATGTATGTAACATCACATTAATGCGTGTGATGCTCAATACCAGAAATGAATCACAAGACTTAAAGAAAAGAGCTATTACAGATTTCTACTTTATTCCCTCAATGGACAAAAAGTCCAACCATTTTGGGAACATTAACTAAATAAAATACAAAACAGGTCCTCTGTAAATGGAAAATATGAAAATACACTTGCTGTTGTGGCTATCAAAAACATTAAGTACCAGTATATACATTGATTTAAATAAGAAAACTAGACCGCGGGTAGCTGGGTACGTGACACAAAGCTTATCTCATTCAAACATTCAGGCATCAAGTCACATGCACACAAAGACTTTACAACACACAAACTGACCTCCTAACATTTTTTGATTTGCATTACAGAAAAGCTAAAAAAAATCTGGCTAGTTTGATTTACAAGAGCCACTTGATCCACTTTGGCCACAAGTCCACTTTGCATTTCTGTGGTCAAAAATATAAAAGTAAAGTTTCAGTCACTATTTGGATGTTGCTGCTCGTTGTACTGTGTGGCCTGTTTTAGCTGTCCTTCTCCAGTGTTGTTGTGGCCAAGGTGACTGTAGTTAAAGGCTGAGCAATCCCATGCATCTGCATTCGGGCGAGTTTCTTCTGTTCACACTCCGTCACGAGGGTGTTGAGCTCCGCAGCACTGTAGCCAATCAGAGTCCTTAGGTCACACACAAACTTGTACACGAAGCGCTTTCCTTGCACCTTGCTGATCATGTCACCATCATAATAATACCTAGATGACAAACAAAGGGAGTCAATGTGATCTTCATGTCCCATTATTAATTGAGATGTAATTTTACATATACAATATTACACAATTTTCTGATCTACTAAGATGTTATAATGTTGTTTCCTCATCACAAACATTCCAGGAGTTGTGTTTTGTTTCATTCACACATGTTTAACACAAATCCTGCATAGTTATGCTGAGTTTTTCTGTCAAACTGAATACACTCTGTTCTACCTTGTGGTGTTATGTGATAAAACAGGAAGTGATCCACTGTAATTTTAAACACCATGCACTTCACTAAAATCATCTGGATAATTTTAGCCCTGGAATTGCCTGTCTTTACTGAATAAAAGGTAAAAGGAGCAGTTAACTACCTACTACTACTGAAACTACCACTAAATGACAGTGGAACAGAGCATTTTGAGCTTTAAAGATGTAGACAAACTAATAAACCAAATTTATTTAAACATGTGTGAATGAAACAAAACACAACTCCAGGTATGTTTTTGATGATGTAACAACATTATAACATAGCTTAAATCTCAGAAGAATCACTTGTGTGTAATATAGTACTAAAACGTATAAATACAAAAACCAACCTCAGCGCTCGGCTCAGCTTCTCATAGTTCATAGTAGGCTTATTCTTGCGCTGTCCCCATTTCTGTGCCACAAGCTCAGGCTGGTTCAGTTTGAATTCTCCTTCATCACCGACCCAAGAGATGCAGTCTCTGGCATCTTTGTCTGTTAGCAGCTCCAGCAAAAACTGCCACAACTGAATCTGACCATTGTTACCTACAGTAGAATAATTTGATGGAAACAATAATTACTTTAATTTTAAAAATATGATACCGTATATGTTGTATGAGTACATTGTATGTTGTATATGTTGTAACTGTAAGAGTTGTGTGCAGTGAATGAAATAGTTAAATCCAAGATGTCGAGGTATTGTACCTGTACGATTGCCAGGAGAGCTGCGTTCTTCTCCAGAAATGCGAGGTGTTCTTGGGCCACGATTTGGCTTTAACACCTTAATTGTAGTGGGGGTGCTGACTTGAGCTGGTATTATTTGGACAGCTAAAATCACAGAGTGGAATAGTGAGATTTAAATAAATGTAAACGTCCTTCATATTTTTCCCCTATTTAATGGAGGACAAATAAAGCAAAATTAAACAAAAAAAATTAACTAAACTTACGTTGATCAATTGTGACTGTAGCATCACTCCCAGTTTGATCTTGACTGGCCAGGACATCTAATTCAAACAGAAGCGTAAATTCAGTGAAGCATGAGACATACAGTATGTTTTTATACTATGAGGCATTTTAAAGCTTACATTTTCGTAGGAGCTCAAGGTGACTCCATAGGATCTCTCCATTGGGTACTTTTTGGAGGAACTCCTCTTGACTGAAAGCACAGAGCTCACAACCACGAATGTGGATGCTGCCGATCTCCATCTCGTCAATATTAAACTCCTTCATTACCCATACAGCCCAGTGGATCACTTGGTCTGCTGTCCACAGGACAGGGTCTACACAAAACCACAGTTTTAGCATACCACTACTAGAGTACACCACTCATAAGACCCATAAAGAGTGACTTCTTACCATATGGTATACCAAGGCGGACCTGTTCTTTTCTGTAGCCTTCCAGCGCTGCAGCCCAGCGAGTCACCTGTTCTGAAGTCTCATCAGAGAGGGCAGATCGCTCCACAGCAATAAGCTGTCCTTCTTCAACCAAAGTCCCCTCCTCCCCTGCTGCATCAGGGTCTATCACCACTTCTACTGTTTCTACTGGCTTCACAATCTCCAAAATGTTCAGTTTTTCTTCCCCTTAAAATGTGAAAAAAAAAAATAAAATAAAATTACAAATGAGGTTTTGTTATGTCAGCAGTTGTAAAATAAACTGTTTTTTTTTTTTTTGCATTTTTTTCATTACCTTCTTTAGCTATAATCTGGAGACTCAGCTGCACTGTGCCATCAGTTTTAACTCCTTGATCAAACAGGCTGTGATCAGGATGCAGCTATAATAGAACAAAAAAGTCAATATTACATGAATTAGGATTAAAAATTACAAATAAATTTCAAACTTGTTATATTTGGTCTACCTGAATATCCTGCAAACAGATATCAAATGAATCAAGCGAAATCTGGACACGAGGCTCCAAAAGCTTCTTCAAGTTACCAATAGGCTCATTAATATCAATGTCTTGTTGAACTAAATCTGATGCAGTGATTGTTTGCTCTTCCACACTATAAATTAAAAACAAACCATTAATACGTTTAAATAAATTGCATAATGTTAAACAATATAATTATGAATATTTACCCTTCTTCGAGGCATGTCTGTTTATCCTGTCCATCAATCTCAATCTCAATCATCTCTTCTGGTTCACCTTTAGACATTTTGTTTGAATTCAGGCTGTGCATTAAGAAAAAAGAAACACAATAAAGGCTCTGCACTGTACATTATAAGGCTGCATTAAAAATCTAAATGAGAAGGTAATATTTGTTACAAAAAAATGTGTATTGCATTCATATGTCCTTACAAACAAAAATGACATTTAATACAAAGAACTGTTTAATTTTATATTTATTGACTATAATGATGTGGGACGTTTGTTTCCCTCAGGTTAGGCTTTAGGCCTCTGAGCCTGGACTTCTCATTGGTTGAAAAGGGCGACTCCACTCACTGCTTTAAAGCTAATGTTAGCCAACTCGAGAACGTGGCTCTGTCGTACTGAGGCCAACTTCTAGGCCAGTGTAAGCGTAAACAGTCCACATAAATATGAACGCGTTCGTGGCTATTTTGAAACGGATTTGATGTTATTCGGGTGTGTGTTCAAATGAATACTGTGAGGCGGGTTTAACCAGGAACAAACATTAGCTAAAACGAGCCGCTACAGCGGGGCGAGGCACTGCATTGCATAAGCGCGAGTCCTCCACTGGTAGAGAAGGCTTTTACTAAATAATAAGCACGATCATGTTTATGAATCCGATCAATTTTGTCTAAAATGCACTTTAACGCTACTTGTGGAAAACTTTTGAAACGGAAATAGAATAAACGGAAACAAAACAGCATAGGGCAAATGGAAAGGAGCCGGAAATCCTGGCTAAGGTTTACAACGCGGTGAGACTTCCGAGACTGGGTACGACAAATTCCACTACAGAGACGAGCTTGTGGCGACTACAGCACCAGTAATCATAGATCAGCAAGAAAAAGGAGATACAAAGAACTACGACAATAAGTATGGTCATGATCGCAGGATTTATCCTCTAGCTAAATGAATACGTACTGTGATCAACGTGGAACGGCGAGTCGGCGCAGCAGCCTCCTTCAGTAGCTAGTTGGGACTTTGTGTTATTAATTACCTCAAACACGGACTGTCAAAATGTTAAATTTGCTCTACAATACACTTTTAAAATAATCAGCCAGATATATACTCCAGGTATTGTCGCGCTAGCTTATCGTAAGCGCTCTGACTTCAGCATGGTCGGGCTCTTTGCCCAGTGCTCACTAAAGCCAATGGGGAAATAAACAAGCGCTGACTAGCTTAGCTTAGCCACTAAGCTAAACAAAAAAATAGCGGGAAGATTGCAAATACGACAATCGCGAAGTCTGTAAAAATATATGATGACACACTCTTTATAGTACATAAGCCTACACACATACCTCTTACAATTATGACTTAGAATGATCTTTGTCCAAAGAAAACTGGCAAAATTCACTCAAAAGTCGATTCGTACTATGCAAGTTTTTTTGTCAGCTGCCCTGCTCAGAGGGGCGGAGACTAAAGTTGGCAAGTAAAACTACATTGGAACACATATAGGCTATCTTATATAGTTTTCTGTTTGCGGGTACACAATGTTAATTTTAAAGACATCTGCGTGTTTTTCCCCCTCTTTTAATATATTAACATTTACTTGTCTTTGTTGTGGGCATGTAGTCTATTTAAGTCTATTCAGTTTTGGGGGCGATAAGTAGCCTACACAAACTCTCAGCAGCACTATCAAACATGTAAATAGACACTGAGAAAACATGCATTCTTATTGGGCTTTATCATCAATCCATACATGGTTTTACTCTGCTCTCCTTGGTTCTGAGTCGGGCTTGCCTTGCAGATCTGTCCTATAGCTGCTTGTCTCCATGTAGATGGATAAGTGTACTGTCATACTACAGACCATTCCAGGAGGACTAGATGATATGCTGATAGTAATCGAATCTTGATCTCATCCCTGGGACGATCTGCTATTTTGGTAAAACTATGCAATTCCCTGCTTTTTTTTTGTTTGGTTTATTCCACTCTAAGGTCAAAAACAGACACTTTCCACACCACTCTCTCCTATTGGATAGCCTTCTTCATGCTTTGAGTGTCAGGTGGATATAACCAATCACAGTGGAGTGAACTTTAAGAAACAGCAGATTTAGTTACCCCATCTTTTAATGATTGTATAAAAGATACTAAGAAAAATACTAATTGTGAATTTGTGATCTGGCTCTAAGGAAACTATGATACATTTTTTGGCATATCATCCACCTTTCAGGCAGAGCAATAACATCTCAGTGTCATGTCTCCACCAGGAAAGTTAAATAAAGTGCCACTTTATTTAACTTTAACTATTTAACAAAGTAGCACTTTAAAAGTGCTACTTTGTTGCTCATCATTGAAATATGATAAAAGGTTCTTTGGTATTAAAGTACAAATGTTAAAGTACTGTTTTTAAGTACAAATTTGTATCTAGGTTGGTGGTGACCTGTCTAAGGATTTTTGAGCTCTAAACCAATAAAAGTAAGAACACAATTTTAAATCTGTTCTGAATTTCTCTGAATTCTTTATTAAGATAACTGCTTTGACTGTTTAATATTTATAGTTACTTATATATTGACTGATTCATGTATGTTTTGAGTAATTCTGAGCTTGAGTGCTCACAAAATATGTTTTCAGTTGCCCCCTATCCCCACCCAATGCTCTGTACTTACCTTGTCATTGCTTAAAAATTAAACTCCCAAAGCATGCACTTTGGGTTGACAAATTTTGTGCTGCCATTTTTCAACAATAAAACATGAAAATTGGATGCTTGCTGTGAAATGTTTATGGAGAGACCACTCATTTCTACAACAGGCTATTAAGTTGTTTACATACAACAAAATAATCATGATCCAAGTATGTTATGTAATTTACTTAACCTTATTTTTCTTGACTTTATGAAAGTATTTTTCTGCTGGTTGGCTGCATGTCTAACAAAAGAATTTCCCTCTTGAGGATGAATAAAAGTATTTCTGATGTGATGGTTTATTACTAAGTAATAAAAGATTAAAAGCATAGTATTTTAAGAACAATATTTTCATTAGAATTACAATTCAGCAGCATCTTAAGTAACTTGAGTACTTAATTCACCATTGGTGCAAATATGATTTTCCTGTACACCTCATCTACATATGTCTGTTTTATAAAACTATTTTATGGGATTTTTGTTTTAATAAGATAAATACTGCTTTGCAAAGGATTTTTCCGGTTATTTCTGTGAATAGTTTTGCATCAGATGTGATGTGATGTTTCTACACGTATCTACCCTAGGGAAATTTTAAATGAAGACAACAAAAAGAGTTATGCTGTATTCCTATACAAAAAACAAGTATACAGTTGGTCATTGTTTACAAAGCTCATCTGGTTACACATAGATTCTGTAGTTAGATGAAGCTACTTTTAAGTACAACTACCAGATGTGAGGTTGTATTTAGGATGTAAGTTAACATGAATTGTTCTTTGGGATTGGGAATGCATGTAAACAGCAACATTAGATCGGCGGAAGTAGTAGAATTATAATTTATTTTCAAACTAAGAGTCGTATAGTACAAAGTATGTGCATTAAAGCTTCAGTATTCACTACCTAATAGGCTGTGATTTATTTAGTAACATAAACAAACTATAGTTGATTACAGAGCAGAATAATCATACAGCTATCTGTTCTGCTGGCAGTAAATGAACATGTGTGTTATTGTGAAGTATTCAGGAAGGGCTGTTGAGACTGTTAGGCGGACACAGGTTAGCATCAAGATGGCAGAGTATCTTGCGTCCATTTTTGGAACAGAAAAAGATAAGTAAGTAATTATTTGCTGAATTTTTAAATACAATTGTAACTTGGTTTGGCATCCAATCTGCCTATAAGACATTATAAGCCATTTGCAACTTTTATGCTTTTAACCTCCCCTTCGTTTCTAGCGTCGTTCCTTGCAGCATGCTAACAGCGTGCTAGTATTTGTTCCCAGTCATTCGAAGTTCCAATGGCTCCCCGCTATCATCAGAGAATACGAAAATAAATAGGTTATAATTTCGCTATAACCTTGATACGCAATTGCAGTGCTTTTATCTGCGTATGATATCGTCTATACACTATTAACGCTAGTTGTATTACATATTTAGCTGGTACATCAATAGCCTTAAATATTCTTTGAAGACTCATCGACCACATTTTACTTAATTTAGACAATTAGCTATTCGATTCGAGAAAATGTTCTTGTGAATTGTGATTAGGCTTGTGCTGTTTTGGGTTATCTAGAACATTGTTGTTGTAGCTTTTTTTTTTTTTTTTTTAATTCATCAAAAGTCCAGGTTGCTTATATCTTAGCTGTAGCGGTAGGCTTGTCACTGCTCATTGTAACTTTTTCAAACAGTTTGTATTCATGTTTTTTATACATTGTAAATTGTAGTTAAATTTATTCACTTCTGGCTAGAGGAGGGCAATATTGACAAATAATAATACCTTGATATAATCTCGATGCTAATTACCAAACCACATTATGGCAAATCCATAAACAGCGTGGGTTTTTATGTTGGTTCATACTACATTATTACATACTTTACACTGCTGTTTTATTTAAATTTTTAATCAGCTCATTTTGTAACTTTTAAAAAACTGGTTTATACAGTATATACTCAATATTCATGTTTTGCTCCTCTTTTTTGTTTATTTTTTATTCATCATCAGTCACATGAGTAGTTGGTGCTCTTTGAAGAAACCGGTTTTAAGTCTGTTTGTCAATATGTTTTTCTTTCATCTACAGAGTGAACTGCTCTTTCTATTTTAAAATCGGTGCCTGTCGTCATGGAGACCGATGCTCTAGGCTGCATAATAAGCCGACATTCAGCCAGGTGATATGAATACTTTGTTGTAAATATTTAATTTGTCTCTGTTAAAAGTACACTCAAATTAAAGAGGTGTTTTTCAGACAATTGCCCTGCTCAACATTTATCGCAACCCTCAAAACAGTGTGCAGTCTGCTGATGGCATGACCTGTAAGTGCATCAATCACCCTCAAAGATCTTCTCTTCATCCCACACGAATTCATATTAAGTGTTTTGTTTATGACCATTAGGTGCCATTACTGACATGGAGATGCAGGAGCACTATGATGAGTTCTTTGAGGTAATTTAAGCCATTCAGTCAATTTTAACTTATCAAACCACTTCTAATCAACTTCTAAACACATTTTATTCTTAGGAGGTCTTCACAGAAATGGAAGAAAAGTATGGTGAAGTTGAAGAGATGAATGTATGTGACAACCTTGGGGACCATTTGGTTGGAAATGTCTATGTCAAAGTATGTAATCAATAAATTTTAAACTTGAATAAAAATGAGCATATTGCTACATTGCTATGGTTGATATTCTTGTTTGATTGCTATATTTCAGTTTCGCTACGAAGAAGATGCTGAGAAGGCTGTCATAGATCTCAATAACCGCTGGTTTAATGGTCAGCCCATTCATGCAGAGCTCTCTCCGGTCACAGATTTTAGAGAGGCTTGCTGCCGCCAATACGAGATGGGGTGAGTATGATGAGTACACACTGTAGGGATAGGGCCAAGATGTGGGAGGGGTAAACTTTACCCTTTACTTTATTGGATCATATGGCTTTTTGTGTGAATGAAGACGAATAGCCAAGTATCTTCATATTGATTGGTTAGAACAGTGTTTCTCAACCTTTTTTGAGCCACGGCACGTTTTTTACATTGGAAAAATCTTGCAGCACACCACTAACCAAAATGTTACAAAAATGACACTATATAGTATATTTAATTACAATATAATTTCTACATTAATTTCTACTTACTCAGTGTGAGACCTGCGCCTGTTTAGATGAACACAAAACTGATATCCTGGCAGGAATAGAAGAAAGACACACACGAAGCTCTTCATCAACAGCTCTCAGTCTCTCCCTGTCTTTAGTTTTTATAGCAGTTAAGCTTGAAAAGCTCTTCTTCTGGGTCAGAATCTTGTCCAGGGCCCATTTCGGAGTTCGCATTCGTCCATTTTAAAAAACTTTTCCATGACTGTCACCATGCACATGCGTTACTAATTCTTTTAAAGCAGGGGTGCTCACACTTTTTCAGCATGCGATCTACTTACAAAATGACAAAGTCATAAAGATCTACCTAATACAAAGCCAAACAAACTGCACTGAAACACTCTGTGCCCCTTTTTTGGACCCTCACCCACAGTTTGAGAACCCCTTCTTTAAGAGAACTTCCTCTGGCACTTTACACAAAACTGTGAAAAAAGTGAAGGAAGATTTTTAAACCTGTTTTTTAAAGTTCCAAACTGGAGTTGCATTCTTTTCTGGTTTTGCAGTGATATTTACCAGCCTCTGCACGTTTACCAAACCAAACGCACACCGTGACAAACACAGATGCATTTGTGCACTTTTGTTAGACAAACTTCAGCCAAATGTGGCAGTAGGTCTGTTCTGTAGATCTGCTCTATGCTGTAGACCTGCTTTGTGCCAACACTGTAACACAAATTTAGACTGGTTTTTGCTCCACGTTTGGTCTTGCTCTTCTAATCAGCGCGCACTGTGGAAGGGGCTTGTTTTCGCTGTACGCAGGAAGGTGAGAGCGTGAAAAGGCGAGGGGCGGCGTGCTGACGTGAGGCAGATGGACAGGTAGGATGTTTAGGAAGTTGAACCTGCCCTGTGATGCACGCTGGTACACGAGGGCACACGCTGTTGCAGACGAGCCATGCGTAGGGAGCGTGTGTGTTTGTGATGTGCCGTAGAGTCTCCGCGGGCTGCACTGAGACGCCCCACACGCTCTGGCACACCTGTACAAGTTTATTGCCAACAGCAGCGGCCTTAATGAAATATGATCGCACTTGTTGAGTGTGAGACAAGACCGAGTCCAAACGCGAGTCCGAGACGAGACACGGCGATCTACCCACACGACCTTGGCGATCGACTGGTAGATCGGGATCGACATATTGAGCACCCCTGATTTAAAGGAACGAGGCAATTAGCTGCCTGTCGCCACCCGGACGAATATTAGATCACTCTGCCAGTCATCATATACTACACTGTACTACAGCACGGACACTCGACAATGACATAATATTTGCAGGTAATAATTAATAAATTTTTATTTTTAAAAAAGTGATATTGGATAATTTCTGACGGCACACCTGACGATCTCTCACGGCACACTAGTGTGCCGCGGCACCGTGGTTGAGAATCACTGGGTTAGAAAACAATGATTTTTGTGTCTCAAACGTAATACAAATGTTATTGTAAGGAGCTATAAGGCAGCATGATGTTGTTCTAATGTTGTACTTTTTTGTAGAGAGTGCACTCGTGGTGGCTTCTGTAATTTCATGCACCTGAAGCCGATCTCAAGAGAGCTAAGAAGAGAGCTCTATGGACGTCGAAGAAAAAAGTAAACTAATTTGACCATCACTGTCCAACGTTTGGGGTGAAGGACCATCACTAATGAGTTGTCTTTTCTTCCAGCCGTCACAGGTCTCGCTCGCGGTCTCGGGAGAGGAGGTCTCGCTCCAGGGATAGGGGCAGAGGAGGAGGAGGAGGAGGAGGAGGAGGAGGAGGCCGTGACCATGACCGCCGTCGCTCCAGAGACAGAGAGCGCTCTGGGAGGTTTTGATCTATAAGCCACCAATACCTGTCCTTCTGTCTGACTGTAGCCATCATTAGTGTTTTTTTTTTTTTTTTTTTTTTTTTAAGTTTATACTTGTCTGACCTTAATTTGGACGGATTGAACATTGTCTGCTTGAAATAGTGTCATAAATGTGTTACTTTTTTCTTAAAACCTGAAATCAAAACATGTTGTCATTAAAGATTTTTACTAAATATAAGTGCTTTATTAGTTATCCATTTTTGTTATGTTTTATTTACAAATTACATCTGTCTTTGGGCAATTTTAAGTTCAACAGTGCCTTTAGACTAGAGTCTAGATAGAAAAAAAAAAATATTTTTTTTATGTTTACCTTTTAGGCCTATGTAAAAAAAAAAAAAAAAAAAAAAAAAATATATATATATATATATATATATATATATATATATAAATATATTACTGCAAGTAATTTAGTAACTTGACAAAACCAGTATCAAATATTTAGTGCGTCCTGTTGAGTCCTATTGAGTATCTGATCATGAATAAAGGTCCCATGCTCATTATTTTTTTAAAATACACGGATTTGAATTGTTAATTATTTTGACCACCAGTCTGACCATCGATTGGCCCTCCGCTTTCCCTTTAAGATATATTTTTCAAAACAAACAAACAAACAAAAAACATTCTGTGACTTTATTGAACCAGTAAAGGCTGTTTAAAAGAATATATTCAGTATGGAGTTGTGATCACCAATGAACACAAGGGACTCATGGTCCAATCAGCTTCTTGACCGTCAGGTCGGCCGTGGTCCACGGGCTCTCGTCAGTAAGATTTAGTCCGTGAAAGCACCAGGCTGTCTCTGTTTGGGTGAGTACCGCGCATTCCCTTTATGTAAGTTTATTAATGACGTGTATATTAGGGTATCGTATTTAGGATGTTTGTCTTGCTTCCTGTTGTTTATTATTCCAATGTTTAATGAAAGACATGAGATTCTTTCTTTTTCTTGCACAAAATACTTCGTTTTAATAGCAAATTAAAACTTATCAGATATTTCATAATATTTCCAAGTTAGTCTCTGTTAGAGTCGAGTTATTTACATTATACATATTTACATTGCAATTGTAGGGTCGCACTGAAGGCAACATGTGTATCTTAGCCTTTTAGACACATGACAGATTATTTAAAAAACAGGCGAGATTAAAGGCATCCTTTAAAGTGCCTATATCACGCTATTCTCTGAACTATGTTATGATGTTGTTTCTTCATTACAGACATTCCTGGAGTATGTCTGAAATTATGTCAGAAAACACTCCACCTTGTGATGTCATGTGATAGTGCAGGAAGTGCTCCACACTCACTAGATTCCATCCCTGGAATTGCATATCTGAAGTTGCTTTTAATTTGAAAACTACCGCTTAATGACATCACAAGGTGGAACAGAGCATTTTGCGCTTTGGAGTTGTAGATAGACTAATAATAAAGCATTACTCAAACATGTGTTATATTCTGTGTTATGTCTCTTTGTAACTGTTTTGTATTTTGTATTGTCTTCTGTGTCACCTGTCTAGGGACAACAAATAGAAACAAGCATTTTTGCTATAATCATATTTACAGTGCTATTACAGATGCTCATTAATATGCACTGACCCTATCAAATAAATTAATACATATTAAGTGTGAATGAAACAAAATACAACAACAAGCACTGTTGGGGAGTAACGGATTACATGTACCGCCGTTACGTAATCAGAGTACAAATTATGAGTAACTGTATTCCGTTACAGTTACTGTTTCAATGAGTGGTAATTGGATTACAGTTACTTTGCTGAAATAAGTGGATTACAAGGCAGTATTTTCCTGTTTTCACATTTTGTGCTACATCCCATTTATTTATTTTTTTATTTCGGTAATTCCACTCATTGCCGGAAACCCAAACAGAATGCGGCAATAAGAGCGATGGAAACGTCATGTTAAAGTTGGCGGTGTCAGTCACACAGTGGAAGCAGCAGTGCATTGGTAAAAACGCATTTGTGTCTTGGAAATTCTTCTCCCGATGTGAGATATATATATATATAAAAAACCAAATATAAAATCGCCTACAACTTAAATGTGAAACAGGAGCTACTGGCACTGGTGAAAACAACCTGCATATACATAATATCTGCACTACTGTCCTATAGTGACCTGCCACATGAGTGGACGTGCACACAAACACACACAAACACACACACAAACACACACCTTCATCATCGTCATCAACCTGAGAACCCGCGGACCACGTCTCCTTCCGTAGTTACAGCGCGGACACCGCCGTCTCGTGCGCCGCGTGTGGACCGTGTTTTCTCGCGTAAACCGCGCTTCCTCATGTGCGAATCTAAACCAGAACTAACACCAGGACTAAACCAGGACTAACACCAGGACTAAACCACGACTAACCCAGGACTGAACCAGGTTTAAACTAGGACTAAACCACGACTAAACCAGAACTAAAGACCTGGTCTAGACCTGGTCTAAACCAGGTCTAAAATCAGGAGTAAACCAGGTCTAAAAATCAGGACTAAACCAGGACTAAACCAGGACTAAACCAGGTCTAAACAACATGACACCTAACAGTAGGTTGACATAATTTAAGGTGATCTCATATAAAAAATAATTTCTCTATCAATAATATTTTTTAATATGGTGAAGGAAAGGCTGATCTTGTTACTGTCTTTTAACAGACAAAACCTCTTATATTAAGATATCGTGGTCTTTGTTTCTCTACAGCAAACAGTTGCTTATTCATGGAGACTTGGGCTCAGACAATTTGAAGACAACAAACAAGAATTTTCAGGATGTGGTTGCTACATTCATGTCGTTTAAAAAAACATGACAATATCAAGTAATCCAAAGTAATCAGATTACGTTACTCACTTTAAGTAATTTAATGGATTACGTTACAAACTACATTTTGGGGTGTGTAATCTGTAATCTGTAGGGGAATACATTTTAAAAGTAACCTTCCCAACACTGACAACAAGGTATGTTTTTGATGAAGTAACAACATTATAACAATGCTTAAAGCTCACAAGAGTCAATTTTGTGTAATTTAGGACTTTTAAAAACAGTTTAATTGTTCAGTCTCAAATTCAGTGTATTTACTTTTGTACAGATGCTTACGATGCTTTTTCCAGCAAGCAACAATAGACACAACAATCAGGAGAATGAAGAAAAGTCTGCCAGAGAGGATGGATGCAGCCATGAGCAGCAGCAGGAGAACAAGGGAGCAGTCAGACTCATCCCTGAAAGAAACTGGACTCGGCCTGATCTGCCCAGTAAATGCACCTGGCACTTAGGGGCCTCACTTTCTCAGTCTCCTCACTTTCTCTCACCGAGGTAGGTACTGCCTTGTCACAACAATGATTATTTAAATGTATTATTATGCATAACATGCCCCACAAAATGTTGATGCCCACAGGACAAAGGCACCTAAAATCTTGCCAAACATTCTTTGGCAAATTGGAGATACTCCTTTGGTCCGCTTGAATAGGATCCCTAAAGACTATGGACTTAAGTGTGAGCTCTGTGAGTAAACTGTTGATATGGGATATTATGTAGTAAAACAGTGTCTTAAACCATTTACTTATTTTGAATGCACACATTTGGATTAAGGGTACAGTTTTTCCCTTTAAGAATGGAAACTTAAGTACAGCAAATCCTCATGTTACCCCGTGAGTGGTGACTCTGATCTTAAATCAAAGGTGTGATCAGTGACCGGTGTAGACTGACTTTTACATGAACCTCAGGAAGAAGTTTTTCATTCACTGGGTGACAGAGATCTCTTTTTAAACAGCGTGGCTTATACTATTACATTTACTCAATTGAACCATTTTGAACTAGTAGGATGGAGTTTATCGGTCACAGCTTCAGTATCCAGTTTCGTTGCGTAAGAGCAGCATAACTGGTTCAATAACTGGAGATCCTTTTCTCTGCTGTTCTTTTAGTGGCCAAATGTGAGTTCTTTAATGCAGGTGGCAGCATTAAAGATCGGATTGCAATGAGGATGGTAGAAGATGCTGAGAAATCTGGGATCCTTAAACCTGGTGACACAATCATTGAACCAAGCTCTGGTAACACAGGTATCCACTATGAAGCATTATCAAATACTCTCTGTGTACATGACTTTACACAGTTAAGACATCTTACTATGACCTGGTTTTCCTGGACATTAACAGAAACTGAACGCTCCTGTAGATTGTTCTTGTCTAAATAAATACATAAATACGAATAAACATTATGTATACAAATAGTTATGCAGTCTCTGGACTATATAACTGATGTGGCTTTGTGCAGGTATAGGCATGGCACTTGTTGCAGCAGTAAAAGGTTATCGCTGTATTATAACAATGCCCCAGAAGATGAGTATGGAAAAGGTTGGGAGCTGTTACGATAATAAACTGGTGTGGTGTTTTTCATTTCTAACCTGTTTTTTTTTTTTAGGTGAATGCCCTAAAGGCACTTGGAGCTGAAATTGTCCGCACACCAAATTCTGCCTCATTTGATTCAGAAGAGTCTCATATCGGTGTGGCATGGCGTCTGAAAAGTCAGATTCCTAATTCACACATCCTTGACCAGTATCGCAATCCCAGCAACCCCCTGGCTCACTATGAAAGCACAGCTGAGGAGATACTGGCTCAGTGTGATGGTTTGTGCTTTTTCTGTATTCTCTTTCTTCTTCTTGCCATTTAAGATCATGGGTTTTTATGCCATTTAAGATCATGGGTTTTCATTCATTCTTTTTTGTTGTCTCTTAACAGGTCACATTGATATGGTGGTGGCTGGTGCAGGCACAGGAGGCACGCTTACTGGTGTAGCTCGGAAATTAAAAGAGCGTTGCCCCAATGTTAAGGCAGTGAAATTTACATTAAAATGGTTACTATATTTTGAAACACACAATCATATCTAAATTACACAAGGAATATTTTCTCTTGATTTCAGGTTGTTGCTGTGGATCCAGAGGGTTCTGTTCTGATTGAATCAAGAGAAAAAAAGCCCCACAAACCATTTGAAGTTGAAGGCATTGGATACGACTTTATTCCTACTGTGTTGGACAGATCTGTAAAAACTTCTTATTCCTTGAAAAAAACAACTGAAGTTGTTATTTAAATTAATACTTTTTGTTTGTTTTTGTTTTTGTAGATTATTGACTTATGGTATAAAGCCAGTGACAAAGAGACATTTACTATGGCACGCAAGCTTATCAAGAATGAAGGTCTTTTATGTGGTAGGTTCCTAAATAACAAATACATGCACTTCCATAGAAAGTTCATTTGTGTTATTCACATGAACTGAAATGGCTCAAAATAACAGTATACATTGTTTTATTCTTTCAAATCTTTTTACACTGATGTAGTAGTATATGTTTTTTGACATCAGGTGGCAGCAGTGGCTCTGCGATGGCTGCTGCAGTGAAGATGGCTCAGCAGCTTAAAGAGGGTCAGCGCTGTGTGGTCATCTTAAGTGATTCTGTCCGTAACTACATGTGAGACACACTGAATGACAATGAATGTGTGAAAGGGAAATAAAGATCAGTCCTGCAACAGTGGGGTAGAAGATTCATATTTTATATAGTCTTTATTTTGATTGTGGCATTCTAGGTCAAAGTTCCTCAGTGACCAGTGGATGTGGGACAAAGACTTCCTCACACAAGAAGCTCCCGTGAATGCTCGACCATGGTGGGATCTTATTCCTACTATATTCTATCCTGTTAAGATGTCTTGTATAGATGCAATGTGTGTTCTCTTAAAGGTGGTGGGACATCACCGTCCAAAATCTACCCCTGTCTGCCCCTGTGTCTGTGTCACTGTCAGTTTCCTGCCAAAAGACCATTCAAGTCCTACAGGAGAGAGGGTTTGATCAAGCCCCTGTTGTGGAAGACTCAGGGTGAGTCCTACTCATGCAAAATGCAGACTCTTGTAAAAGTTTTAAGAAACAATAATAATCAAAGATTATTTCTCACAGCACCATTTTGGGAGTGGTCACTTTACAGACCATTCTTTCCTCTTTGGTGGCTGGTACTGTTCAACCTTCAGATCACATCAACAAAGTGCTCAGTACAAGTTTCAAACAGGTGTGTGTAGAATTACATCTAATAGAGTATGTCTTTGATTATTCTCAAGCTTTCTATAATCTTATGTGTGTGTTATTCTATTGTCTTCAAATAAATATGAAAATAACTGCATATTTTAGATCCATCTAAGAGACCATCTGGGAAAACTGTCACACATACTCCAGGCCAACCACTTTGCTCTTGTGATCCAAGATCATATTCTGTGTAAGGCATTTTATTCAATTATACAAACAAATGACATAAAACTGTGTTTTTAGAAGCTAAAAGTGAATATGAATAAAAATATGGTAGATCTTCCCTAAAGTTTTCATTGTTCCAGGTAACACCGAAGGCTTGTCTAGTCAGAAGCAGAAGATTTTTGCGGTTGTGACAGCGATGGACCTTATTGACTACATAACCACACGTGGTGCAGAATTATAAATCCTGCTGGACTAACTTAACTGAGTCTCCTTTTTTTTTTTCTTCTTTTTTTCTTTTACATATATGTAACTATTTTCTCTATTTTCTCATGCTAATTTGTGAACACTATGTAGTTGATGGCTTAGTAGTTTCTGCATTAGATTTATTTTAGATAGAACCCCATGTATCTACTACACATAATTATATAAAGGTGAATGGGATGCAACATTGAAAATATTTTGTATTAAATGAGCTTGAAGCTGATGAAAACGATAGACTTGTGTAACAGTTGTTAAAGCACGTTTTTTCTCTTTGGACTTGTAATAGCATTTTTCTACCAGAGCGAGGCAGTATGCATACACAGACCACACGGACCCTCAGCTCTCATAACTTGCAGCATAGAGTTCTTTAAACAATGAAATGTTTTCACTAAAGATCACCAATGAAAATCTGATATAGTTTTGTTACCGTCCAGTATTTTGACTCACATGACAGTAAAAAGGAAGTAACAATAGTTCACACTCTAATCTCTTCAAGAACGTGACAGGACCCTGTCAGGGAATTGAAAGTATGAACCTCATGATATTTTGTTGTTTGTTGAATCACGTTTTAAATGTCTCAAAACATCACACCCACATATTTCTGACGTACTTGAGTTATTATATCCGAGAAGTTAAGGTGCCTTTAAACTTAGTCATCAGTTAATGACAATGTTATTGGCTCAATATGAAATGAGTGTTAACTGGTTTTGGGCCCACATTCCCTGTGACAGAGGCATAACACAAACACAAAGTGAAAACTGTCACTCCCACAACAACAATGATCAAATCAGGCACAGTGGGCATTTGTGCATGATTTTGGACATGGACCAAATATTCTTTGTTCATGGTAGTTCAGGTCTGCTTAATCAGTCTCATAATAATCATCTGTGTCAAAATGAAGCTGTGCATTTACTTTTGCATGCTCTACTTGTGTCATTACATCAGTTGGCTTTAATGCACAAACACATTCTTTTTATGCAAAGATGTTTTGTAAAATTTTCATTGGTGGTGCAAGTACTACATTTTCTTATTTAAGTAAAATTACAGATACTGGAGGAAAAATAAAAAAAAACAAACCTAAAAGTATTTTGTGCAGATTTTGAGATCTAATAAAGCTTCAAATGTAGTGATTTTAATAAAAATTTGTGGTGAATTTTGTTCCTTTCAGAAGCTTTTCAGTCCTGTCCAAAATGTAGTGTAGTAGAAAGTACAAATACTGTCTCTTAAATGTAATAAAAGTATCCACTTTAAAACTACTGAAGTAAAGTACATATACCTAAAATGTTTACTTAAGTTCAGTAATTTACTACTTTTACTTTGTTACGTTCCACCACTGATTATGTTATAGATGGATATTTTTGTACACAAGTCAATCTAATTTCATTCCCCAGTGCTGCCTTGAATTTGAAACCACTGCCAGGGACTGCATTTTTGGTCTCTATTATGTGCTTGTTGACGCACTCAGAACCAACAGGTTACTGTATTCAGCATTTGACTGGCAACTGAGAGAGGTAGGTGTGTTTGGAAATTATAGTGTGACGCACATCCTATGCAGATCTCCAATCAGACATCCAAACATTTAGAGCTTAATTGTCTGTCTCTGCTTCATTATTGATTAATTAAGAGCAACAAATGAGCTGTATACTAATCATGATTTAGCTATAATAGGCCTATAACCAGCAAAGAGTAGCATCATTTACATTGGTGGGTGGAACTGTGCTAAGGCCAGTGTTGTGTGTTTTTGTGTGTTTTTAAAGGTCCAATATAACACAAAATTTACTCTTGCCATGTTATAATGCTGTTACCATATCAAAAACATATCTGGAACTGTGTTTTGTTTCATTCACCCATGTTTGAATATGAATGAATATTTATCATTAGTCTGTCTATATCTCCAAAGCTCAAAATGCTCTGTTTTACCTTGTGATGTCATGCAGTGGTAGCTTTCATGTTAGCAGCTCATTTTTCCTTTAGTTCAGTAGAGATTGACAATTCCAGGGCTGAAATTATCCAAATGATTCTAATAACGGTGTACGGGGTTTAAAAGCACAGTGGAGCACTTCCTGTATTACCACATAACATCACAAAGTGGAGTGTCTTCTGTTTGAGAACTCTAATATGCAGGGTTTTTTGTTTGAATGAAACAAAACACAACATCACAACATAGATCAAAATTTGTGTAATACAGGTCCTTTAATAGATTGTTGTATAAATGTAGTACTCTATATAGTGCACAGTGCAAAGTTGTGAAGAATAACGGCTTCCCCTTTTGTGTTAAGCTTTTTGTTTATTTAACTGGACCCTATGTATGGGGTATGCCCCACCTTTACAAAACACATTACAGAATGGCTGTGTCATTAAAGTATAATTTAAGTTCTTTCCCTAAGGTGCCTGATGTGAAAATATATTTCTCTTTATTTACTATTACATTATCAGAATTTGCAGTGTTTTTTAAATGCACAAAAACACTTACCACAGCTGTTAGTCTGAGGTTTAAAGGTGCACTGTGTAACTTTTCTGGTGGAGAGTCCGTCAAAAGCATTTCTCCTTGGAGATGTTATTGCGTCATCCGGAATGTTTCACAATATGGCATTAAACCTTTCTATCTTCATGGGGACCAAACCAGACGAAGTTCCAGATCAGATCTGTAGAGAGGCAGACCTGGCTCACAGTCAGAATGCCTGCTTTTCTTTGTATTTTTGAGCTATAAAACCACCAGTAATTAAATACATGTAAGGCAGAGCTGTTTAATGTCATACTGTGGAACATTCCAGGCAGAGTAATGACATAGAAATAAGCAGACAAACCCCCAAGCAAAAAGTTACGGTACATAGTGCACCTTAAAAACTGCCAACACAAATTGATGCTCTCGTGACATACTCTTCTCTAATCAACAAACACCGAAGGACAGTGAAGTGAAGTGCAAGATAGGCCTATAACCTTGTTCTTTGTTTTTACTGTAGTTCCTCATTCCAAGTTGCCATTTTTCATACTGAGCCTAATTGAAACCACTTGGTACTAAACTAGAGAAAATTCAATATTCAGTATCGTCACTGAACCATGAAATTTTGCATTTAGTTTCAGTAGTAGTAGTAGTATTTCAGTAATTCAGTCATTTGCAGCACTACATGGACATAGACTACAGTCCCATTTGGATCATGACATGATTTTAGACTGAAGTAAAAAGTACTTATAATTTTTTAAACTTTTGGAACAGAGTATCAGACAATGCCCTTAGACTGTCTAATAAGCTGCTCACTCATCGCCCCTCCTGCTGTGAATGACATATCCTGATAAAAATGGCACAATTTGAAACAGGCTTTTTGGGCACCATGTGTGGAGTCTGCGGTGCGTTTTTGTCCCTGGCCTGTTGCCTGTGTGATTATGTGAGCGGGCTGGGTGCAGGCCCTGTCTGCAGTCCACTCTCCATTATCTAACCAGCAGAGTACAGTCACTGGGTCACAGGGCCTGCAGCACAGCAACGCTTTCAAAGTTCTATTTGCGTCACTGCTCCAAATGGTTGAATCTGAGTTATTACCCCCCTCTGTGAAATCAATAAGCATGAAAATAGCACATTAGTTTTACATAGCTGTTAATGATGCCTCCTGCCCATGTGTGAAGTCATATACAGAATCAAGTGTCTGCATTAAAGGGCCCATATTACTCTGTTTTCTGATCTGTGTTATAACTTTGTTTCTCCATCACAAACATACCTGTTTGTGATCTGTTTGTGTTGTATTCACACATGATCAACAGACAAATTCTGAATATTTAGTCTGTGTTCCTCTTTCAAACTAAAAACACCCTGTTCCACCTTGTGATGTCATCTACAGGAAGTGCTCCACTGTGTGTTTTTTTTAACTCCCAACACCTTCACTTCATTTGGATACTTTCAGCCCATGAATTGCCACTCTCTACTTAACTAAAGAGAAAAGAAGCTTTTAACTTGAAAACGACCGCTTCATGTCATCACAAGGTGGAACAGAGCATTTTTAGTTTTCCAGATGTAGACCACCCAATCATTCAGGATTACACAAACATATATGAATGAAAAAAACATAACTCCAGGTATGTTTTGATGTGGTAACATTTCAAAATGTGCATCAATGTAAGTTTTGCATAATATAGGACTTTTAAATTCATCTTACCAAAAGTTTATCTACTCTTATAACCTATTGAAACCTATGGACAATTTTGAAAAAGCATTTTTCACTCTTTAAGGAATTATTTAAAATGTCTCCCAGAAATGGCCCTAGAAGTATATGTTTACAGACATATGACTTTAAGCCATATTCCTGAATAAAGTTATCTTGTGAACTCTTGGGGGTTGTTCTTTGATGGAAATATCATGCAATGGTTGTGTGTTGACTAAATTATTTTTATAGTGTTCCCCTCAAGAAGAACTGAAACCCAAAATCTCTCAACTGTTTACACAGAAGCAACATTTTAACCTGTCCCCTTTTTGTCCATCACAGATCCCTAAAGAACAAAACAAAACAAATGACCTGTGGTACCCATCCTGAGTTCATCTGGACTGTGTTTGTTTACTATCAATATTTGGAAATCTACAACCTCTTCTTGGATGAAGAACATTTACTTTATTGAATATATTTGCTAATTCCACTACCAAATCAAATAGTCTCAGTGATTCTGATCATTTGTCAGAGGTCACAACAAAAATGCACCAGATGATTTATGATCATTTATGTCTTAAAACTGTACTCTGCAGTTAATGTTGTTTGCCTTATTTAAACTGATAAACATAGTTTGTATTGTTTGTCTTACATAACCTATTGCTAAAGGGATATTTGTGTTATATCATAGATCTTTCCAGCGAAGGTCAGCTCTGATGACTTTCTTCTTGAGAAAGCGCAGAGTTAATCCTGATAGGAATAGCCCAAAGGAACAGGGCACAATGGAGGACATTGTGAGGAATCACAGGGCTTTATGTGCGTATGAAGACGGAGCGGGAGGCAGCACAAGGCAGAACATGTCCTGGTTTTAATTTTCTCCATCTGCGTCATTCCTTCGTCAAAAAGTATAAATCACAAATGTGTCCAAATGGAAGCTGAGAGACCCCTGGCTCTGCCTCTCTTATCTCCTCACTGTCTCGTGTCTGCACAGTGTTTTATCAGGAGAAGAAAC